TAATAAATAAATTTTTAAAATCATAAATAATATTTAATTTATTATCCAGAAACACAAACCATTCTATAGACACCTTTTACAAAAGAATGGTGAACTGCTGTATAGATGCACATGATGAAAGGAGAAATATGGCTTTGGCTTTGAAAGGTAATTCACCTGCTTCTAAAGAAGATTTCACATGTCTGTCAAGGAAAAGGTTGAAGGCAATCCCCTGCAAGTAAGCAAAAGCTATCAGGATGTACTAGGTAAAACTAACTTGCACAGTACCCTCATACCCTTGACCTTCGAAACACATTTGTAGATAATGTTGATGCTTCTGACAGCAGACACAAATCCTCACAGTTCTGTGGGAAGATATTTCAGTTCTGCATTGAATATATTTTCTGTAGTATTAAGTCAATCATTTTTGTAAGATACAAATTTTGAGTTATATAGCAATGCAATGCCTGTTATAGCCTACACTTTGCAAAATATAGCCATGATCTTATGATGATCACAGTAAGATAAGTTTCTTCTGTGTGGCAGTTGGAGAATGGTCTAATCTGGGTCTAATCATCAATGTCTCAAAGTGAGGAAGAAGCAGCTTAAATTAAACTGCCAGAATCAAACACTCTGAAAGGCGGTTTCTGGATCCAAACTTTCAAGATCTAGATGTTCCTGTAATAGAGAAAGGCAAGTGGATTGAAGAGATGAAAACAGACACTCACAAGAAACAGCTTCCTAGAACAATGCTTTTGTTTATTTGTTTGTTTCCCAAAAAATCTACTGGAAATGTGGTGTGAGAATACATATAAATAGAACCTGTTGCTTTTACATGAGAGTCCTGTTTTAAATATATATTGATGTTAAGCTGGATTTATGGGAATGACAATATGTTTTCCTTTCTCCTTAGATGTTTGTAAAATTAGAAAGGTTAGTTTAGTGTTTGTTTACCATCATCTCATTCTACATTTCCCAAATGTACCCTTTCAGTCTGGGTGCAGGCAGAATGAAAGTAAGTAATAAAATGCAGATTTTGTAAAATATGGAAAATGTTATATCCTGACCACACAGGAAAAATTACAAGCTTTATATAGAGCTATGCATTCTGTCAGCATATATATTGTTCTGTGATACAGTTTAGGCAGAAAAGAGATTGTGAGAGGGAAGGGAAGGAAATATGGGAGGACTGGACTGGGTTTGCACTGTCACCTTTGTGCTATCAGCCTTCCTGCACTGATTCCTCCAAGTTTATCTGTAGCTGGAAGCAGATGTTCAGCGGCTCAGTGAAAACCCTCCCTGGAGGGGCTTGACTTACCCATGTGCTGGTGTGCTGCCCCCGATACCCTCTCTGTGCACTGCCAGAATACGGCAGCATGTCTTGCAGTCCATTTTTATCATCTCCCTGGCATGAAGCCCTCACAATGGGAAGGTATGATTTATAAGGCATGGCTCTGAATATCCAAGCAAACGGCAAAGGCTGAAGGAGAGGAAGGGAAAACAGGAAGGAAATTTCTTCATGCATGAGCAGAAGATGAATTTTGGGAGTAGGCTTTTAGACAAATTAATCTTATTCCTTTTAAAAGCCCTAAATTTTTATTGCTGTCCAGAGAAATACCTATTCTCTCCTTGCTTCCATCAAGGAGTCTGTATCCATAGAAGTGTTAAGGAACAGTATGCTGTTACCTCAATATTTTCTTCTCACATACAAAGTTAAATGTCATTTGGATGTTACTGATGGAATGTTCTGTCTCTTACCACCAGAAGCTGAAGATATTATGAGAAGACCAACTTTGGGGATCTGTGTCCTAAGACAAAGACTGCAAAAAATTGGGAAGGGTTAAGGGAAACTCTTTTGCTTACAACACTCTGAATAAGCACCTCAAATTGTTTCTGTGCCTGTGACAACAACCACATTTAGCTCTCAAAATTCCCAAAATAGGCTCTATCATTTGAGCTGTCTGCCTGGGAACTTGGTCAGCTGATAGCCAGAATAACTTAAGAACAATCTGTTCCTGGATTATTCAGGGTCCTGAACAAAGAAGGCTATCCAAATGTTCTTGGAGACCTGGAATTGCATACCTGTCTCCCTTTCTTGTCCCGCAAATGTTTCTGTCACTTGAGATCTATGCCTAATCAGGTGAGGATTTGAGGACTGTACCAATTAGGCATGGAAAGATTTTTCTTGGATATAAATTTTCACTAATTACAATGAGTCATCATCACTAGATTCTTCAGGGCTTGCATGCAGTATTTTTCTCTCTCCGAATTTCAGCGCTATGTTGGAGAGATAGTCACAAAAGTATTTTCCAGATGTCTCCAAAAATAGGAATAAAAAAAAATGTGGCAGTTTAATAGAGACATTTCTAGATGACTGGAGTTACCCACTCCTAAAGATGATCAGATACAGACTGACTGTGACAACAGATGCTCAGTGTGTTCCTGGTGCCAAGTGGCTCTCCAGAAAGTTTCTCTTAGGTGAAACCTATCCTGTAATAAAAGACAGTCAGCCTAGTTGCGTGATTTTTATTAGTTGAGGTTTCACACTGTGTGAATACCAACTTGAGATGTCGGGTTTTTGACCAATGCCAGAGATTTCATGGTGTTAAGTTTGGGAAGTTGATAGGATCAGGCTGGGTGTGGAGTGGGGGCTGCTGCAGTGTCTTGGGGGGTTACGCCTTGGGGAGCTTATGTCTTGGTAGACTGGCAGAAAGGGAGCTCTCAGATGTACATCAATGGGATGCAATGGAGGACTCAGAAAATACTAGGGGGGTTTGAATTTTCATACAAATGTTCCAACTAATGCCCACATTGCTCTGAGACCAAAAGAAGGTGAAGAGAACAAGAAATTAATTATTCAGACTATCTTGACAGGCATAGGTGTTCAGTACAGCAGAGAAGGAAGTTTTGCATTTGAAGATCTTTTTATTACTGTTTTTTCCTTTGCTCCTAGAAAAATACTCTAGAACCTTTAGAAACAGAAAGTGCTTTAATAGTTGAGACTCACCTAAAGAGCAGTAAAGAATATTTCAGATATTATATCCAATGTTTTTCTAAATGGCATTTTTCTTTCAAGAAGGCCTACTAGAAATATACTGCCTCAAAAGCTCACTGCTCCTTTCTCTTTTTTGTTAACTCAACCTCCTATCCCCAAATTTGAAGATGGAAGATGCATTCCTAATAGTGTAAACCCTTTTAGAAGTTCATAAATCAAGGCAAAGAAATTCATGTGGAACTTTATGCTAATAACTCATATTTCAACACAAGCATATTGTCATAAAGCTGGTCAGTAAGAAGGTATTGATTTAACTTCACACTTTTTTGAGCAATTTTTTCTCTATATTTTCCAGAACTAGAGGCAGAGGAATGGTGTAAACATCTTTGCATGGAGTGTCTAGGAACCAGGCTCAATGATATAAGTCTTGGGGAACCAGATTTGCTTGCTGCTGGAGTTCAGAGAGAACAAAATGGTAAGTAACTTCATGATTGCTCCTAGATCAGTTCTTAGGTGATATCCCATGTTATCTTTGCTTGTGTTTGCTGTTGTGAGGATTTTTACTGCTAGCTAAAAGCGCATCAGTAATAACTAAACATTTGGATGTGGTTTTGAGGCTTAATCCTGTTTTTCCTACAAATACAGATGATTAAATTCCATGCCAAATAGCACGCATAGAGTGACTTCATGTCTTCATTGTATTCACATTTTCCTGTCATGGGAAATGATGACTATGACCTTTCTGGTTCTGGAAACAATGGCCTCTGTGGAGAGGAATAAAACAGCAGCTGTTGTTCCACAGCCTTTAAAGGACGGCAATGAACATAACACCACTTTGGATTGCAAAACACACATTTGCTTTAAACTCATACCTGTCTTGAATAATGAAGTCAAGGTCATCTAAATGTTGTCAAATACAGGTGAAAAGGGCAATGACAGATGCTAGTCAACACTAAGCCTGAGCTTGTAAATCTTCATCTAAAGGCTATTTGGAACAGAACTTTAGATTAGACATGTGCACAGGAAGGATGCTAGTGGATGGAATATGCAATAACAAAAGAAAATCTGTGATTATCCTGTCATTTAATTCCTATTAACGAACATGAGGGCAACACAAAATGTGCTCATTTGTTCCTCCCTAAATTACAGCTCTCAATGATTATTACTGTCTTGGTGCTTTTGTAAGATCCAATAGCTTTTAACAAAGTAATAAAACAAACTGCCTTAGTGGTCATAAAATATCAAGCCAACTATCATTATACACAAAATTACGTAATTAAATTATAGAATGAATAGCACTATATTGATTATGTTGTATTAATTTAATGGAAGAATCCAGACATCTCTGAACCTAATAACTTAAAATATACAGAAATCTTTAAGAAATTTTGTTCAAAAATCAGATATGTTCAAGTGCGATTTAAAAGAAGTTCCAATGTTTGTGAAGGTGTTTGCCTGGTATGAGATGCAGGATTTAATTTGTAGTCTCAAACTACTTAACAAAGGGAGAGCTACTAATGTTGTAGGAAAGCAATAATGATCAGACACCACTCAAAGCATCCTGTCTGCTATATGCTCAGGTATAAAACTCATATGCATGCTATTGAAGAGAGAACTATGTGAGCAGGTGGAGCTCCTTCACAAATGCAAAAGGGAGTAAATGTTGTCAAAAGCCTGTGATGTGAGCAGAAAAATAGCTTGAAATTCCTCAAGCCCTTTCTGCAGTGGATTCATATACTGTCCAGCAGCTTTCGGACACAGATGGCAAATGTTACATTTCATCTTGTTCTGGAAAGAGATCCAGTTACACACACATGACCTCCAGCAGACATAGATTAGTTCTGTTGTGTGAACTAGTCTTGATTCAATTGCCTTAGTCTAGAAATTAATTGCGGTACTACCAACCAGCATATATGAACATAATTAGCATCTTTATTGTTCTAAGTAAATAAATGAAAGGAAACAAAGAGGCAAAGCGTGTATTTGTTGTACAAATCACATGAATAAGAATGCATGGAGGGTTTCATTAGCCATATGCTTTTAAACCAAGTGGCTGAATACGTATAATCCAATATTTCACAAGCATGCTCTGCTAAATCATTAGTTACAGTATCTCAGACAAGTAATTCTGATACCTATCTGTTTCCTTCCTTCATCACCTTGATGCACAACTCTGCATTTTAATAAACATGTTTGAAATTCAAAGTTGTCTTGTTCAGAAGCAAAGCAAATTCTGTTTTGGGGTCTTTTAATCAACTAGGAAGGAGGAAAGAGTACAGAGATTCTTACTATTGGTATGAAACCTAGCATTTTGTTCATTTAGCTGCGCTGTAAGAACCCGCAGTTGCACTCAAATTTCTTTAGCAGATTCCTTCAGTAAAATCAGTTGAGTGGAACCGTGACTTCAGTTTCTACTAGTTATCTTATTCTGCAAACCTGGCAGTATCATTCCGCACATGACAGTTTCATGGAAAAGGTGACTAATTGGAGGGTGGGATCATTTGGTGAGCTCTGATAAGAAATTGAAATTTTAAATTTATTTTCTTGCACTTTTTCCCCATATTGTAGCTGTTAAAGGCAAGATATCAAAAATTGTTCAAAAGATACCTAAAAACCTTTCAAAAGTCTACTGAGAATTTGTTGACCTGAAACTGAAAGGTCAAAGTTAATTTTCGTGTTTGAAATTCATGAAAAGTGACTATATGTATGAAATGCCTAAAATCTTGCATATTGTGAAAATGGCAGCTGTGTCACTCTCAGGGTCATTTTACTTTTGTTATGTTAAATAAAAACTGTACACTGGTATAGTACGTTTGAATGACATTATTTGAAAACATATTGCAAGTATGTCAACTTCATAGAATTCTTCTTGAGTTAGTCAATGTATTAATATTTCCTTGAAACAGAATGTATGAATATAGTTTGTAAAACCTGTAATAGGATTGTAAAGCCTCAGCATCTAGTTTCATGCAGGTTCTGTTGCCTTAACCATATGAGGGCTTTCTTTCAGGTCACTGAACAAAAGATGTCTCCTAGTATCTGAGCAAGACCAGATTGCATTGTCATAAAGACTACAGTGACAGTGGTTTTTCAGTTTTAGATATATATTTTTTTTACATTTTAAGAGCTAAAAGCAATTGAGTAATAGTGTTATACTGTTGATATCTCATGGTATGACAGGGTGTTAATACCATTAATCCCAAAAGAACAGGTGTATTAACCATTAATCCCATCTCATTCCACTGCCTTTTTTCAAATGGTTACTTTGCCCTAAAGATTTTCTGAAATGTTGAAAATCTGATAAAGATACTTCCTTGATCATAAAAGAACTAGCCTAGTAAGTTTTTTTTTTCATGAGCTGCTTTACATTTTCCTAGCAATAGTATTTTTAATACGCTATGTACTTCATCTGCCCAGCTACTTGCCCATTCCTGTCCTTAAAGGGCATTTGCATGATGTATGTCATGTACTTTTAAGGGTATTAACTGAAGGGATCACGTAAAATTGTTGCCTCTTGAAAAAACAGTAAGATTTTTGTTGTGTAGGTTTGTGTTTCAGTCCCTGTATGTCACTACCATAGCCAGTACTTTCAGTTTGCAACATTTGTAATAATTTTCTTAATTGTTATTATATATGACCTGGGACCATAGAATTGCTACATGCTACTTATAATTTTTATAACCAAGGACTCACATTTCAGAAAATCCTTGCAAGGAAAATATGTGTGTTTTCTATGATTTGTCTAATATCTCTTTTTGTTACATCTGAGACTGTTTATCCTCCCACTCTCACTCCCGTGGTTCTCCTGAGATGAGCTTTCGATTTCTGAAGGGAGACACCTGAATCTCTGTGGCACAAATGCAACAATACGGTTTGCAAAACAGTTTGTTCCAAAGGCTGGCAAAATCACTCTTTGGTGTGCAAATGTCATGGCTAAGAGACCATTCATTCATAAGGCATCCCTGTCATATGAGGATAAAAATTTGCAGTAGTGCAGCTATCTGAAAGAGATGTTCTTTTATACTTCTGAGTTGTTCAGTAAGTGCTAGCGAGATCTATTTTATTGCAGCTGCACCGTTGCTTGACCCTCCAGCACCAAGCAATTCTGCAGTAGTGACAGCTAAAAGAGCCAAACCATAGATCTGCACTGCTTATAACAGAGTCCTTTAGCTATTGTGTCTTGCAGGAATAATAGAGAAGACATCTAAGCCATTCTTGTGCAAAGCACTTCAGTAACAGAAAGCTTCTCACTGTTATTCTCACTCTGTTATTACTTTCAAGAATTATTACCACAAGTCTTACTGTGTAACTCCGCTGAGGACAATGACCCTTAGGTGGTTTTCTTTTTACATTTAAAGCTCATAACTAATGGCTGCTTAGTTTGCAATGATACACAGATTCCAATAAAAGTGAGATTTGAAACGAAGCTTCTGTTACTCTCCAACAATTTTACCTTCTCTCTCCTGCAAATCTGATTTGTTTGTGTTCCTCAGACCTATAGCAGCAACCCTTTCTGTTTAAATTTCTTTTCACACGAAACAGTCTCTTACTGTTTATGAATGTCCATTTAGATTATTTGATAAAGAATGAAAATATAGTATTAAATCAAAAAAAGTAAAGGCTACATGACCTTATTCAGATAACGAATTTAGTATAATGGCAGTGGACCTGTATATACAATGATAAGACAAATACTAATACACAGTTATAACTGCAGGAAAGAAAATCTGGACTCAGTTGGATCTGATAACACTGTTGACAAGTAGTGTCAATATCCTATGATACTTACACACACATTTCATATTCCTTAGGTT